GAATGATTGAATAAATGATAACCTTGAGCCATGTTTATTCGTATCGCCAAATAACAACGATGACATACGTCGTCCAATACCACGTTTTGCGTTTGTATACAATGGCTTTGCATGGATATCACTGGTCATCCTTTGGCGTTTACCCGGAGTGGGCACACCACCGCCCTCGATCGTCAGCAGGAAGAATGAGCAAGTTGTAGTGGAGAGGATGAACTGACTCGCTTCTTGGAATTTTTTAAAACATATATGGATGGAAGCAACTTTTAGTTAAAAACGATATCAACTGAATTCGATGAACATCGATCGATCTAACAATAAGTAAGCAATTGGTGAATTTAAATTTACTGTAAAACTGTTGCCACATCATTACATGAAATTTCATCTCCATTCAAAAAAACTGAGTCAATTAATACCCGTAATATGGAACTATCATCATTTCAAAGCCCTGATGCAATCTCTCAGCAGTCAAACATTACAAAATCAAAAACATTTGATGCCTTTTCGAATCAATTGGTGTTGAATACACTAAAAAACAAATTTGAACCAGCTCACCACTATCGATAACTTCATCGAGTGAAAGCGCCACCTCGCGTTCCAAATCCACTGACGAATCGCTGTAACTGCGACCAATATTCGGCCAATGCCTGATCGTCCCTTCGGGTGAAATAGCTATCACGCCAACATTCGACGAATCTAAAACGGGTGAACACCTTCAGGTAATCTCTTATTGCAACTATTACGAGAAGTCGACTCGCAAGCATCGATCATCGATTCTGCCAAATAAAAATTCAGACGCATTAAGAAAGCATTTTTTGAAATCAAAAGAATAAAGTTGGTGAACAGGTGAGAATGAACTCACTCGGTCTCAAATAGACCCGAACCGTTCGCACATTATACGGAAGTCCCGATGGCGGTAGTGACAGTTGATACGCAGCATTCGCTGATGCCTTCTGAAAATATGCATTCCGAATCAAAACGATACATACAATCACTGCTCGTATGAGAATGTTATCCATTTTCAGATGGATACGAAGTTAGCTAAATGCTACTTCCGATCCATCTAAAAATCGTTCTCTTCTATCAGTTCAATTCAAGAACTGTTCAGCGATGCGCTCCCGCGAAATGACAGCTTTTCCTTTCATTATCATTTACTAACATTAGTTCATTGAAATGAACAACAATGATATCAATAAAAAATAAAGTTGTTTATTAATTAATAACGACACCAATGATAAAGAGTTGATTTATTCACCTCATTTTCAAGTTTCCAAACGAATAGTCTTCGTCCTACCACCATCCATACATAACCATTTTCAGAAAGCGATGCCGAGCAACTGAATTCGTCGTTGTCCACTGAAAGGAAATGAATCATATCAATTGCAATAAGCAAAGAAATTCAGCAATTATTTAACCTCACTAAGGGATAATTTTTTAAATGTATCTTTCCACAACAAAATGGTTCATTGCCAAACGAACATAGTGATTGAAGCGCTTACAAGAATTCTTCAGATCTCGACAGATTCAACAAGAAATTGATTCTCCAATTGGATGGTGAATTGAGAAAGGAATTGGATAAGAGAATATTTATAATAGATAATCTTATGTGAAACCAATTGAGCAATCNTTTTTTTTGAATTTCACGAAACCAAAGAAGCTTCAGAAAAGGAATGCAATACTTGTGAAAAACTTACACGAGAGCAGAGCCTCACCAACCAGGCTTGGATAGTCGTCGCCTACTGGATCCAGTAGAAGATCCTCTTCGGTCATTTTTCAGCCCTTAGAAAAGAAATTCAGCTGGCACAATCGATGTTGGTTGGCTATTGTCGATAAAATCACCGATCGGCTTGAAACCACTTCAAACGCCTGAATTAACAAATATTCAATTGGAATCTGATGCAACTGAGACACCTGTTTATAGAAAGTTTAATAAGAATCGTCACATTATTAGAATATTAAGATCGTGAACAGATTATTAGAATCATCGAATATCTATAATTTCCATAAGGAAAATGACGCGCCAAACAAGTCGTCGTCTTGCTCTCTGCTAGATTGCATTGCCACACATTAAAATTATGCAGCAATGTTAATATGTAATACTCACGTTCAATCGCTCTTACAAATAATGCTATGAAATCGCTTGTTGTTTCTGTGTACATTTTTGCATAAATGAAACAATAACGACCGAGTTGAGAAGCTGAACGATTATTGGAACA